GCGTATTGTGACTCTTTCACATTAAAATATCAGTCTTAAATGTTGTATGTGATCACAGGTGAGGGATTGAATGCATTGACGAAACGAGAAAATCATTCACGAATACTACTCAAATCTCTTCGATAGCCACTATCACCTTCCGTCATAAGAAATAAAGAAGGATGAACATGTTGACCACCGGTTCTCCCTTCCGAAATCCGACATGCCATTTCGTCGGTGAAAAATCGAACAGCACCAGGTCCGGACAGGATAAGACCAGAACACCTGAAGAACCTTCCGTCAGTCCTAGTAAACACACCGGCTAGGCTCTTCACCCGCTACCTGTCCGAATGCAAGGTCTCTACTCAGTGGAAGACCAGCAAGTATCGGCAGCTATCGCCCAATCTGCTTACTGTCTGTCGTCTACAAACTTTTCACTCGAGTCGTCCTAAACAGGACTGACAGAACACTGGATGAAGGGCAGCCATGTGAGCAAGCAGGGTTCTGAAAGCGATTTAGTACGATGGACCACATCCACACAATAACAAGGCTCATTGAAGTATCGCGAGAGTACAAAAGACCGCTCTTTCTCATTATCATCGATTTAAAGAACATCTTTGACTCAACTGAGATAGAAGCAACCACGGAAGCCCTTGATGGTCAAAGAGTCCCTACTCAGTACATAAACATTCTTCGTGAACTATACAAAAATTTCGCAACCAAGGTATCACCATTCTACAACGATATTAACATCGACGTCAAAAGAGGAGTTAGGAAAGGCGATACCATCTCGCGAAAATTATTTACCCCCACTATCCAGAACGTCATGCGAACATTGGAATGGGATAATATGGGAGTGAAAATCGATGATCGGCAGTTACACCATCTTCGCTTTGCTTATAAAATTGTCCTTATAACACCAAACATTAGCAAGCGGAGCGTATGCTTGACGACTTTGATAAAGCCTGTGGAAAGATTGGTCTTCGACTAAATCTCACAAAAAAGATGTTCATGAAGAGCTGATTGGTTTCGTATGCCCCATTCCCGCTCAACGGAACGAATATCTCCGAATGCTCTAGCTATGTCTATCTAGGTCGGTAAATCGACACGTTGAACGACTTAGCTGCAGAGCTGACCAGAAGGAAACGAGCGTCTTAGGTAACTTTCAAGAGCATCGAGGATGCAGTGAAGAGAACAAAGAACACCCGACTCCATGCCTACCTTTTCGACTTAACGGTACTTCCTGCCCTAACGTATGCGTCGGAAACTTGGTCGCTGCGTAAACAGGATGAAAGGTCACTCAGCGTTATCGAACGCACAGTCGAAAGGACGATGCTAGAACTATCCCGTTCCACATAAGTAAGGGATGGGATCCGAATCTCCGACCTGCGTCAACGATCAAAAATCAAAGATGTTGTTCTGTACGCCAAACAGTCGAAGATAAAGTGGGCCGGACACGTAATGGGTATTAATGACAGCCGATGGACAAGACGCGTTAGTGACTGGATTCTTCCGGATGTCCAACACACTGCAGGAAGACCACCGACCCGATGGTCGGAGTTCTTCACGAAGAGCCTAGAAGAAAGATATGATGTTCAAGGAGTCCATAGAGCGAGCAGAACCCACTGGAGTACTCTTGTTGCACGCGACAGGGAATAATGGAAGATTTACTGGCACCCGCTCGAGTCTCGACGATCAACAGGACTACAGGTGATACAGGTGATAGTGAGAATTTTTCATAGTTGATGGTAGGTTAGCTCCTGATTACGATCTGGCGTTCGTCACATTTAATCTCATTATTCATTTAGTTTTTCTGAATTGAGATTAATAAAGAACCCATTAGTTGCCATCGCTTTTAAAAGCTGTTCAGTGGTCTTCGTTCATTCGAAGGTCAGCAACAGCATCACATTTGTACGATGTTCTTTTTTGTGTTTGCCAATAAAATTATTACGGTGGTTTATTAGGTTGGGATATAGGCCATTCGGCTTTCGTATGAAGATGTTTAACTTGTTCTAAGCTTGGATGACTTCGCTTGGTGGATGAACCTTTACTTTTAGGTCGCATTTTGGCATACAGAGGAAGAACCTTGCTATGCTGAAGCGGTAAACCAAGAATAGCGGCTCCACAGTAGTAATACTGCTTATCAAGATGGATTTTTTTATAGGGATAAAGAAAGTACGCTCAATTTAGGTACCAAAAAAAAGTACTGCTTTCATTTTGTAAAGAGTACAACTAGAAGTAAAACAGGCTGATGAATTTCGTTGACACGGAATTCCTTCAGCTTTCTCCATGGAGAACGACAGGTAGTTCTGCAGTGCATTGTTCGGAAAACTGTGATGATTTTCAATAACCGAAACTAGCAAATAGAACCTTCCCAGTGGTTTATCTCCTCGTCGTGGCTGGGAGCTACTGCTGGTTGGCGGGCTGCGATGGGCAGGAATGGGGTTCATCTTCTAGGACTCCTGTTCGCGGCACGTCTCTTTCACGGTAACTCATTTTTTGAGAGAAGAGAAAGTCGTCGATAGATACGACAGTCTCTTAACGGTACGACTATTGCGGAGATCGGTCATATTCTCGCAAGCAGAAAATGGTGCACCCTTTGACACCACTGTGGTGCCTGGACCCTGCACTGGATCTGTTTACCGCCTTCTCCGTTCGAAGATTCAGTTTAGGTGTAAGCCGGAAAACAACTATCATCGTCTAAGGGAAACGAAACAAATCGTTTATAACAAGGATGTTTTCAACAAAACCCTCTCTTTATATAACTGGAAGATAAAATAATACTCGATCATGCAAACTGCTTGTCGAAGGACCTAGACCATATGCTGGGCTTGCCTCAGCTCCTCAATCAAGGAGTTCAGACCAATTCTCCGCTGCCATTAAGTACTTGCTCGAAAGCAAAAGGACACTGAAGCTTGATCTTGTTGAAACACACCTAATGCGGCCGATAATTAATGCCAGCTGTAAACGATCATGGCAGAGGTTTACGTCGGTAATCTACTTCAAAGAGGTGCTATCGGAATCTTGCGACTATAATGTTTCGCTATCCATCCTAACTAGCGAAAGTAGGAGTATCGCAACATCCCACCAATATGCGGATTTGATGATGGTAAAGTTTTATACCAATCTTTTCCGCTCCACAACTCCCATGTCGGATCCTGAAATCCTCGCTGGAGAAAAACATCTGGGATTATGTTCTCTGAGGTTCGACTATGTGTGAGAAAATGAAAGGCTCTTGTGATCACCATCGGCACCCTTCACGGCCATCTGTTGCTAGTTGGTTTCATCGCATAACCGACTCTACTATCAATGCTCATTTCTGTACATAAAAGAGATAAATTTGAAGATTCGAAGTGGTAGTACAGTATGACTCTGGTGGCACCGCATGATTATGTAACCGAGAAACAGAATGCTGGCAGAATCGTTGAGCAAATGGTATGAAGGCGAACCTTTAGATCTATCCATTGAGCGACGGTTTCTGCAAGACATCCACGAATGATCCATGTCGCTCTTCTTCTTTGACAGCACTCGTACTTAGTGTCATCCTCCATTTGCAGGGGATATTATAGGTAAATGTATGACGTTCTCTCTGTTGTAATCAAAGAGCCATCCACTAAGAGCTGTCATACATGACGTCTTGAAATGGACTTTCTTCCAATTTATGACCAATCATATCCTTCTCCTTGCTCATCTTGTTAACCATCCTCTTCGATTCTCTAATTTTGGCACCGTGGGTTTGTAATGGACTGCATTTCAACACCATTTATTGGAAATAGCCAAGTTTTGTTTGGCTTGGTTGAGCTCCTTGAACGTCCTCTATTTCTTAGCAGTGGTCTTTGAAAAGCTATCATAAAACTCGCAAGGGCAGATACTATGGAAAACCAGTGTTTTCTAAGAATATACTGTTTCTTCAGCTTTCCTTTTTTTTCAAAGAACTTCTTTAGCGAACATCTATAACTATCCGTTTGATGTGTGCCGTTAGAACAAGTTTTATTCTTCCTTAATTCTTGGACTACTGTGTCGAATCCAGGAGAATATCCGACACCAGAGTCCAACACCAGAGAATCCTGCAAGCCAGTCGTAACGGTATAAGCGGTATTGTAAGTTACTATCCCAATTTTTAACGTTTTGTTTTCTGCCTTCCATAATTTTCATGGCAGGTTACTAAGCGAAATACAACCACAACGTTGCTGAGATATTTGTAAAACTCTGGACCGCAGGTGTCTATGGTGGGGAACGAACGCGCTATTGTCCTTTCCGGGGAGTAACGCGTTCACTACCAAACCATGCGGGTCCTTCGTTTCGCCTGTCTCTCAGCTATTTCTATCGATCTTTTTGCCACAGCAATCACCCGTCAGCGAAGTTGATCTGGGGAGCGCAATCGGCATAGAACCCAGTTAAGCTATGGTTGTAGTTGAAATCACAATGTTTAACGTTTTGTTTTCTGCCTTCTATAATTTTCATGGCGTTCGTTCCCCACCATAGACACCTGCGGTCCAGAGTTTTGCAAATATCTCAGCAACGTTGTGGTTGTAAGTTATTATCCGTCAATTAGTACAACATGTGATGATGGATTTTACAAATAAAATGCATAAGAAGTACTTGATACTTAATACTTGAATGACCCGTCCTCACCGATTGTGCGGGCCTCAGCATAACCTCCATTTTCTCGGAGATTTGCTTCTTAAGCCACTGTGGTTCCCTGGAATTCCGAGGTCAGCCTGGCCAAAGTCTGCCTCAGGTCTTCACCAACACAAGCAGTCGTAGCCCTTGTGGATCAGAGGGAGATTTGCCACCATTCGACTTTGATATAGGGGCGGTGATCCTGGTATTGGTTTACTCTTAACTAGGCTTCCTGATGGAAACGGCGGATTTCTTCTCAGCTTGGGACACCCTGCCAGGGGGATGAACCCGCTGGTGTAAATCGCAGTTCGACACCTAGGAATACCTTCTAGACACGATAAGGCAATAAGGATAAGCCCGTTAGGAGGATACATAAGACTCCTTCCTTTCTTACGAGGATGGTGTCTCCAATTCGCCTTGCAGGTTCGCATTTTTTTGAGTTACGCATTCATCTTTGTCAAAAAAGTTCGGCTTCTGCGGGAGTGCGTGAATTCATTGAGAACGACAATATGGATTTGAAGAAGGCAAACCCTCATTTTCCTATTCTCATCCGCGAATGTTCTGGAATCGTCCCATGTCTATTTGCAAGGTATTAACATCGAGTCGAACGTTGTATTGTTCCCGAACATTTGCCGAGAGAGAAAGTCGCTTGCATAGGAGGTAGTGATCTTAAACTAACCCATAGCGGTTCGTTGCATTTGCGTCCATGTTTTGGTGGAAGCACACAACGGGATAACGGATCCACTGGATCTTATGCTTGGAAAAATTGAGAACTTATGCAAAAATAAAGTGGATTTCAAAGAAAGATTTTGTAAGCGGACCAGAAAAACGCATGTTCACTTAGCATTTTAATATTAATTGATAATAGTTTTTTTTGCTACCATCCCATTATTTTATTATTTTCATTATTATTATTGTTATTGTATTATTTATCATTACTAAATTATTTATTATTTGTTTATTATTTATTATTATAATTTATTTATTATTAATAAAAAAATTAATAATATTATCCAAGATTTTACACCATTATTTACGTGCTTTAAATCGCACTAAAGTGTAATTATTCAGATAAACTACCACACAAATACAGTAGAGGAAGAGCAAAAGTAGTTATTTTGATAAGATATTACATAGGGAGGGGCGCGTGTAGCGCAGTACTCGGAGGCGCCTTGCAATACACACATGGGATCGATCCCCGCGCCCCAGGCTCACCAAGCCTTCCATCTCTCCATTGTCGGCAAATTGTTAGCAGACCTGTCTAGAAACGTAGCACTACTGACTCGATACATCGGTAGCGCAACGCGGATCATTGTAAACGTCAGATATGCATTCAGTCATCTTTAACGATAGTTAATGAAGTTGAATAAATGGCGCATCCCTCAGGGATTAATCAATGCTGAGAGCTTCTTTTATTCCATAAGTAGTATAGAGCAGGAGCTAAAATTGTGCACAGTTCTTTCTGGGCTTGCCTCGCATTTACACCAATGATAAGCGCGAAGGCTAAACCAGTGTTTTCTACGCACTCTCAGAAGTGTGGTGATTAAAAATGCCACTGTGGCACGACATCCACGCATTTGTCGCTCTCCCAGTTCCGCGTCGGTGTACACAACATTCGCGGCGTTTCGTGGGGCGTAGAGTGAAGCGTCCGAAACCACACCCGGGTGAAGCACACGAACCACCCGAGCACTTTCAGGGGACGAACACTATGTTGCTGTTGTTCAGTGAAGCCTTGCACTCGTTGAGGTGCTTCTGCAACACATTTGCGTTGTGAGGCGACATTAAGTAGTCATTAAGTATAGGGGAACGCGTTGAAGACACCTCAGTAGGTCACAGAGGTTGGAGGTTTGCTTTCGTCCTTCATGTTCTATTCTACTACCATCTCTGTTGGGAAACTTATTGAATGCTCTTTCAAATCGGTATTTCAAATCACTTGTGTTTATTTCTTCAAGGTCCTTGAATTCAAAAACAGTTCGGAATTAGATATATTTGACAAAAGAAACAAAAGTCGTTGATCTATTCCCCGTATAACTCAGACACCATAAGAGTGCACAGTTCGGTGCACTGCTGACATTTTATAAGTGCCAATAGTTCTGTAAATTGCTTGCCTCATCAGGGAGTGAATAAAACAGTGTTAGTGATATTGGCTGGTTCAATTCCGCTTTGGGATCACTAGGGCTCTCATCTCTCCGGTGTTAGGAAATTGCTACTGGATTTGTCCGGAAAAAATCATCCCTGCAGTCAAACTGGGAACGTCATAGCTCGGCTATCTCAGGATTCCAGTGGGAATGGCCTCAACCAGTATTCCACGACATTCAAGACGAAATGAAAATACCCAAATAGCAGCTGAACCTAATCGCGAAAAGTTGGAAGATCTTCGTGGATGGATGGGAGGAAACGAATCGCATGTAAGAAGTACTAGGATCCTCACTGTACATGTTGTATAAAATGAAAATCATAAAAGTCGTATAAAATGAAATAAAATAATGTAAAATGCAGTAAAAACTTTCCTCGCCACTAACACTGTGTTATACATCAGATGATAATAACTTCTGTAATAGATTATCTTAATAAAATCTGTGACGACAAGAAGCGCAATGGTAGTAAACTTGTTCACCACTGGCTAGGTGCTAGTTCGATCCTGGAACAGGATCACCAAGGATCTAAGCCCTCCAAGGCCCGAAAACTGGTGCCAGGTTTCTCTAGGATCACCACATTAGTTAATATCCATGTGGGCACGCTCTATCTTGGCTATCTCGGAGTTCTAATGAGAATCCACTCGATTTGCATTCAGTGAGGAATGAAATTAATAAACAAATAGTGGTAAAATCTCAATGTTTTCTTCAATAAGCAGACACGAGGTTGTTAATATAGAATTTATTAAAATACAATAGCTGACGTTTCGGCGGTTTCGCCTTCTTCAGAGCCGTTTATTTGTTGTAAGTATTTAAGTTAGTTGATGGATAGCCGCCGCACAGAGTAATACATGGGCGAACCTCGTGTCTGCTTATTGAAGAAAACATTGAATTATCAATTAATGCCGAGGTTAACAGAAAGTCGGTCTTGGGAAGTGGTGAAATCTGTTAACTACAATAGTCAAATTCGAACCCGACCATAAGATTAGCGTCATCAAATAGATAGATAAGTCTGACAGATGAAAACATTAACAAATGAGGTAAAAAGGTGATATTGCATGTGATAATGTAATAATAGTTTTGCTCTGAAACAACGTGAAGCACATACGGCTCTCGACATACACCCCAGAGAGCAAAGACAGGATTTGCATCTACCCAAAGGATTCGCATATAATCGAGCACATCTATTCGTCAGCTTATTTATTACGTATCTTTCAAATGCACATTCTGATGCTGGACTTGAAAAAAAGCTCGACCAGAAATAAAAACTTCTCAAGAGCACAGCTCACATTGGTCTCCACACAGTCTCCTTGCAAAAGATCACCTGCCAGCCAACGTAAGCCAATTTTACAACTGAATTTCGTTAATAAGCGAGAGAAGATTCCGCCCAGAAACGATCATTGGCTTAATAGCACACGCATCCATATGGGTCAGGAAGATATGCCGGGTTTACCACCTTGTTCTTCAACAGAGATTTCTGGACTATCGAGAAAAGATTGATGCTGTTGGAACGGAGGCCACACTCTCAGCGAAACGGTCAAGTAGTGCGCTATTGTAAATAAGAATTACAACCGGCTTCTGTTAAAAATACGAACATCACTGAAATTTCTCCATTGCTTCATCAAAGTTTCTCATCGGGAATGAATTTCCACAAAGAAGACGCGTACCATAGTCCGTTCTTTTCCGCATTGCAGTTGATTTAAAACTCACTCAATCAGGTCGAATTGGTCACGTACGCGGATGGAATTTTTTTATAAAACCTTCATGCTATCTAATAAAGCGCCTAATGCTATAATAATGGCAACAAAAGGTGATGAAGCTCTCGGCGTTGACCAATCCCGGAGGGATGTGCCATGCATACGACTTCATTGAGCATCGTTTGGAGGTGATTGGATGCATATCTGGTTTTTACAATGACTCGCGGTGGCCTACTGATGTATCGAGCTAGTGCTGCTTTCCTCCCAGACAAACCCAGTACCAATTTGCCGATCCCGGCGGGATGCAAGGCTTGGTGGGCCATAGGTGCGAGAATCGATTCTACGTGTGTGTTGCAGGGCGCTTCTGACCACTGCACCACACGCGCCCTTAAACACTGGCGATATCAGTCTTTATTCTCTTTAAATAATTAACGAATATTTAGTGCGAGCGAAACATGAAACCCTTCAGTGTTGAATAATATCTTACGGACACGCCGTCCATTCGCCACCATTCCTAACATCGCAGAGACGGATGAATTGTTGTTGAATTGAATGAATACGTATTTGACAATTATAACAAATTTTGGTTTCACTACCGATGTACCATGTTAGTGTTTGTTACTTTTCAAGACAATTTTCACATAGTTGACTCCACAAGAAAGGAGGGTTTGTTTTGCATCGAATCAGTGACTATCTGTGCATTAAAGGCAACCCCGAAGCACTGCGTTGCGCGCAAGACTTTAGTGTTATATGACGATAACTGAATCAATGCCCAGTGAATGGTGCGTGCTACAGCTTGGACGAACGGCGTCGATGAGATGAAAGTCTTGTAAAAATTGTCAGCGTTAGTCGAAAACATCTGGAACTACGTAAAGGCCTATACTTCTTCACTCTCCCAATGGCAACCATTCAAACACTTTCAAGTACATAAAAAACTGTTGTTCCCACTAAGTCTACAATGAAATCCAGCAGTACAGATAAGTGGTGGAAATTATGTTGGTGTAGGATCGTTGCAAGACGATCGACAAGGTGTACGAGGAAAGGAGAATTTTAATCCATACCACATGTAAGCGTCAATGACTGTTTGGCCGTGCTTAGCAACAAAAATTATGTAATCTCATCTTGAATATGTTCGGTATAAGCCTCGTGTAAGGTGTTACACGAAAGGAGAAGTGAATTGAAGTTTGATTATCCTGTGTTACACGTCACACGGCTGATAATAAATCCCAGTTGTAGGAGATCTTTGCATGAGGATTTACAACGGTACAGGCAGAAAAAGTTTTTAGAAGTAGCTCAAAAACGATCCGGATTGGTGAAGTACCGTCGGGATATTTGCACCAACAATGCCTGAGTGGAATACCTGGAATCGATTTCCGCCCATAGCCCACCAATCCATCCCTCCGGGGGCACCAGACTTGTCTGGGAGGATAGCAGCACTGGCTCCATACATCGGTAGGCCACCGCGAGTCATTGTAAAGGCCAGATATGCACTCAATCACTTCCAACGATACTTAATAAATTCTAATGCATGGCGCATCCCTCTAGGATTGATCAACCCCGAGACCTTTATCCTTTATACTACAACGAAGACGCCACCTTTAAAAGGCGAACAACTGTGGACCATTGAGTCCGATCATCGGCTCTGAGAAAGACTAAGACGTCTCTCGTCACTAGACAATCTCAATATGCTTATTTATGTGATCCTATAAACTGATCTTCTTAAACTGACGCGAGGTTGGCACAGGTCTTCGTTGTCGTTGTCGTTGTTTTTGATGTTATTGATCGATAGATGAGGTTTCGGCGACCTCGCCTTCCTCAGAGGAGCCTTGAAGTATTTTATACTAGAATATTTTTATTATTCGGTGGAAAAGAAAGGTTAAAGTAGTAATGATGATCAAACTTTCAACTAGACGCCATATTAAACAGTAAGGCTACTCACCGTGATGTTACGTGCGGGACTGGCCCACACGTAGTTCACGTGGAGTCGCGAGCAAGACACGCCCCGGGGTCAAAATATCATTTTGAAATAGGGCGCCAGGTCACGCGTGATAGTGAGGCATTCGTCCTTCCGGTTCATCTTTGGATTTTTGAAATTTATCCAAAACTCCTCAAGAGTTTTGCTCGTTGAGGTTTTTGATTTCTGCGCTAGGATCCGCACATTCACTTCAAAATCATCGCCGTTGTGCTCTTGTGCCCTATGCGTACCTAGAGGGGTGTTTAAACGGATTTTAGCTTTCCCATCTAGATGTTCTTTTATGCGGACACAAAGTGGTCTACCCGTTTCCCCGATATATTCCTCGCCGCATGCATTACATGAGATC